CTCAGGAGCTCTCAGTGGGGAGGAGAGCAGAGTGATGAAGCCAGTTCAGAGATGGGAATTATTGGGAGGCCATGATTAGTAAAGGCCAGGGGGATATTTGGCCAGGACACCTACTCCTTTTGAGAAACGCCCTGGGATGTTTAATAACCACAGAGAGTCAGGACCTTGGTTTTATGTTTCATCTGAAAGACAGTGCCTTTTTACAGTATAGTGATCCCCTCACTATACTGGGGCATAAGGACCCACACTGACCACAGCACCCCCTACTGGTCCCTTTTCCAGCAGCAGTCTTAGCTTTCCCAGGAGGTCTCCCATCTAAGTACTGGCCAGGCTCACACCTGCTGAGCTTCAGTGGGCTGCCAGCTGTGAGCTGCAGGGTGATATGGCTGCTGACATTGTTGTTCAAGCAGATACCCTGTCTACTTTCTAATAACATCAGGATGCGTAACTTGGCTAGCTTCTAACTACCAAACAGGCTTGGTTGGGCATAATGGCCTCCTTTCGGTGGTAACTATTCTTAAGTCCTTACTGAAGATGCTGTTTTATGGACACTTTTACTCACAGTTCTGGCTAGCAGCAATGGATGCAACATCACTTTTGTTTTTGCTAGTAATCTTGTGATTCCGATGCGTGATTTTTGATTGAAGTATGTAGCAGGTGGGCAGGCGGCGCGCTAGTGTAATGGTCAGCACTGCTGCCTCACAGCGCTGGGGCTCCTGGGTTAAATCCTGGGTTCTGTCTGTGTGGAGTTTGCATGTTCTCCATGCCTTCGCTCCTGGTGCTGTGGTTTCCTCCCACTGTCCAAGGACATGCTGGTGGGTTAATTGGCTTCTGGGGAAACTGTGTGCGCGCCACAGAGTGGTGTCCCATCCAGCCTTGCGCCTGTTGCTTGCTGGGATAGGCTCCAGCTCCCCCACAACCCTGAACTGGGTACAGAGGTGAGAAAAGGATCTGCAGAGCACATTTATCCAGCGCGAGCTGCAACATTCACAGACTTTTACACAAGGCCAAACACAGCGTCGCTGCTGGAAACGGCATCCCAGACTGGTTCTTCTCTGGCGAATTGGTCTTTTCCCGGGGCGCTGTCACAGCCTTTCCCTCCCCCCCCCGCAGAAGAGCAGCCCGGAGGAGCGGGAGCGCATCATCAAACAGCTGAAGGAGGAGCTGAGGCTCGAGGAGGCCAAGCTGGTGCTGCTGAAGAAGCTGCGGCAGAGCCAGATCCAGAAGGAGACTTCCTCCACGCAGAAGGTACCTCCTCCTCCTCCGTCCCCGCCTTCCACAGCTCCGAGCTGGAAGGTTTCCTGCTCAATTCCTTCACAGACGGGCTGGAAGGACCTGCCCTTGCTCCGTCCCAGTTCTGAGGCGTTAAACCGAGGCTTCCCCCTGGGTAGGAAATGAGGTCGTCACGGTCTGCGTACCAGTTGGCAGAGCTGGGTAGACTGGTGCATTTCTGGATGACTTCCTCTCCCAAGATTTAATCAGCAGTGTCTTCAGTGGGCCCTTGAACCCATTACCCCCTGGTCCTGTGTCTGTGACTAACTGACTACTCTGTCACAGTTAACTGACTCCTTAGATGTTGGGTGATCAGTGTTATCATTTTTTTTTTTATTAATTTCCGTGAAGGTGGCGTCTTGCAGCGCTCGTTGTCTTTTGTAAAGCACCTTAGTTTTAGAGTGCAAACAACAAGCAATTTTTTGTTCTTGCAATTTAAAAGTAAAAAAAAAAAAGTGAGGTTGTTTGTATTCTGATGTTCACCGTGCCTGCTAGTCATAGTAGCTGGAGCATTGTAGCAGACTGTTCAACTCCTTTCTCTCTCTCTCTCTCCCCCTCCTAGCCCACCGGCTCATCTGGTTCTGTGGCCACACCGCCCCCTCTGGTCAGGGGCAGCCAGAGTATCGCTGCAGGCAAGGGAGCTCTGCAGGTGAGAGCAATTCTGCGCAGCGCCAACACTGCAGTACCCAGAATGCAATAATAGTATTTCCCTGAATGCACTTGGAGGTGCCCACACAAACGAAACTTAAAACATAGGATGAGCATTAGTGCAAGTTGAATAATGACCACTGCACTGCACAGCCAGCGTGTGTTACAGCAGCACCACAGCTCGCAAAAATAACGTCTCCTGAAGGCGCTTGACGTGACGTTAAAAAGTCGGCATCCTCTCCCTGTCCCGTCCAGGTGTCCTCGGGCCGGAGTTCAGGCACGGTCATCCCCCCTCCGCTGGTGCGGGGCGGACAGCAGGTCTCCTCCAAGCTGGGCTCCCAGCAGAACGCACAGATCGTCATGCCTCCCCTGGTCAGGGGCGCCCAGGTCAGCACTGCCTCTGCGCCATCTGTGCGCTCGGTCAAACCCGTCCATGATCTCAGGCACTCGAGTGCTTGTTTCAGTAGTAGTCAAGGTTCTGTACAGCTCAGTCCGACAAAGGAAGTTACATGATCCTCAGGCTTTTAAAAGTGGTACCCATCATGTCTGATCCTGCAGAGCCACTGGGGGGTTAGGCTTCTCTTTCTGGCAGGGCTCCTTAATGACTTGATTGAGTCGACTGTTGACTTCTTTGGTGTTAATGACATAGTGTGCAAGTCTTTATGACTGAAGCTTGCAGGATTGTCGCTCTCTGGGCCCCCGGAGTGGTTGTTGGGTGTTTTAAATTAATCTCGATTTGGCTCGTTTCCGAATCAGCTGGGAGATTAATAATCTGCCCTGTGCCTTTCTTCTTTGTCTGTCTCTGTCCCGGCCTGGTCCTGTCCTCCCATCTGTTCCTCCTCCTCCTCCTCCCTGGCCTGCCTGTCCCACCACATCAGCCCATCTCTGTGTCTTCCCAGCAGATCCACAGCCTGCGGCAGCAGCAGCAGCAGCACTCGGGCTCGGGGCCTCCCCCCTTGCTCCTGGCGCCCCGGGCCTCCGTCCCCAACGTGCAGATCCAGGGCCAGAGGATCATCCAGCAGGGGCTGATCCGCGTGGCCAACGTGCCCAACACCAGCCTGCTGGTCAACATCCCACAGGTGCGCCGGCGCTGGCCGCCCACGTGCTGCTCGTCTCCCCTCTAATCGTCATCAGCACAGTTGTCTGGGATGAGCAATGGGGGGTCACGCGGAGTCTTGCACACACAGACCATCTCGCCCCATCTGCAGTGCCTTTTACACCCGCGCTATAAACATCAGACTCCCCTCGAAATCCATCAGCATCGGGCGCGAGGCTGAGCTGCTGGCCGATTGTGTTTTTCCGTGGGTTGGCTTTGTACTCGGACGTGGGTTCAGAAGCACGCGTTCACGGCGGCGGTTTCGCAGTGGGCCGATTGAGATGACCACGGTTCGGGGGGGGGAGTGTGCTGGATCTGAATGGGTGGCAGGTCGTGGAGAGACGATGAGAGGGGTCGCTTACGACTGTGCAGCACTTGGAACGGCGTTTGCAGATACCCCCCCCTCTGAGCTAGGCCCAGCGTGTCAATGCCTCTGGGAGCCCAGATGGTTTCTCAGTCAAGAAGCCCAAGTAACTAGAAGTTACAAATTCCACGATGGACATTGATCTGTCAAAGCGCTCGAACAAGTGACTTGCAGTTTGTTGAGCTGTTTGTTGTCAGCTGAATGCAGGGGAAGGGGTTGGTGACTGAATGCACCTTCTGCCAGGGGGCTTGGAAGACTAGCAAGGGTTTTCAACCCGGTGTGCATTCAGTCTCAGCCCTTCAGAAGCCTTTTTTGAGAGAGTAACCTGCCCTCCTCATTCTCTCTCTCTCCCTGACCTCAGGCCTCCCCGACCAACTTGAAGAGCTCCTCAGTGACCTCGCAGGCGGGGCTGGCAGGCAGCGGCCTGTCCTCCGCGGTGAACGCCAACGACTCCCCGGCCAGCCGCCAGGCCGCTGCCAAGCTGGCGCTCCGCAAGCAGCTGGAGAAGACCCTGCTGGAGATCCCGCCCCCCAAGCCCCCCGCCCCCGAGCTCAACTTCCTGCCCTCGGCCGCCAACAACGAGTTCATCTACCTGGTGGGGCTGGAGGAGGTGGTGCAGAACCTGCTGGACACGCAGGGCAAGGGTGGGTGCAGGCCATCGCTGAGCCTGGGGAGGGCGTGGCCGGGGGGGGCAGGTATAGTGAAGTGGGGAGGTGGGCAGGTGGATAGGTGAGCAGGTATAGTTAAGTGGGGAGGTGGGCAAGTGACCTGGCACAGTTAAAAGCAGGGACTGTTTGCACATGGTGGCGCATCCATCTGAGAGAAAGTCCCGAGCAGGAGATTGAGGTCCTTGTTATTTATCACCCTGCAGCTCACCACTGGCAGCACACTGAAGCCCAGCAGGTGTGAGCCTGGTCAGTACCTGGATGGGAGACTCCTGGGAAAAACTAAGATTGCTACTGGAAGGTGTTAGTGGGACCAGTAGGGGGCGCTCTGACCCTGCAGTCTGTGTGGGTCCTAATGCCCCAGTATAGTGATGGGAACACTATACTATAATACTATACTGTAGACTATCCTGAGATATAAAACTGAGGACCTGACTCTCGGCGGTCATTAAAAATCCCAGGGACTTTCTTGAATTTTTCACATTTGGCCATTGACCTGAACAAATGTCCCCCTGGCCCTTACCAGTCATGGCCTCCTAATAATCCTCATCTCTGAACTGGCTTCATCACTCTGCTCTTCTCCCCACTGAGAACTGGTGTGTGGGGAGAGGACTGGTGCATCATCCAGGTGGGGGTACACACTGGTGCTGGTGGAGGGGATTCCCATGACCTGTAAAGCTCTCTGAGTGGAGGGTCCAGAGTGGAGAGTTATTATTCTCTAGTTTCTCCTCCTTGCCGTTGGAATACGCCCCCCAGATGTTCACCCTCCACCCGAGCCTCCAGACCTTCCGGCCTCTTCTGTCTTTTGCTCTCCCTCTTGCCCAGCACCCCTTTCCCTCTCGGTCCAGCTCCCTTGTCCCCCCGGAGAGAGGCTTCGCCACGAGGGGCTCCTGTCTTCCTGCACAGCTGCTCAGATCTGTGAGCCCCTGACACAGCCCCCTGCTCTTCCCTCTTCTCTCGTTAGTGGAGTGTCCAGGAAAGCGCCATACGAGCACAAGCACGGCACATTTTCTTATCCCCCCCTGTTGCACTCGGCTGACGAGCTTTCTTTTTTGTCTTCCCCTTGCAGGGAAGCAAGGCGTGCCGATGGCGGTCGTGGCCCCGGTGCTCAAGGACCCCTACACCTGCGCCCAGTGCAAGACGGACTTCACGTGCCGCTGGAGGCAGGAGAAGAGCGGCACCATCATGTGCGAGCACTGCATGACCTCCAACCAGAAGAAGGCGCTCAAGGCCGAGCACACGAACCGGCTGAAGGCGGCCTTCGTCAAGGCGCTGCAGCAGGAGCAGGAGATCGAGCAGCGGATCCTGCAGCAGCAGGCCGCCTCCGGCCCCGGCACGCCCTCCGCGGGCGCCGGCTCCGCCGGGAAGGGCGGCGAGCCGCAGGCGCTGGTGACCCAGCCGATGAAGCAGGCCCGGCCCGCCGCGCTGACTCACAGCCGGGGGGCGCCCATCTCGCGCCACCACTCCAGCATCAAACAGGTGCGCTGGGGGGGGGGCGGGCGCTCGGCATCCTGGGAAACACCGCCCGTGAAACCACAGCTACACATCATGGAAGCTGTTGGGGGGCTAGGTCGAAATTTTAGTGCACTTTGGGGATACCTGTTGGGGTTCGCTGCTGCTCTGGAGATCCTGGCTGTGTCATGTGTGCCGGGACAGTGGAGATGCATCTGTACGCCATTGGCAATATGTTTTCCACATTCCATGCTCATGGCACAAATGGCCGAGATTTCCAAAGTAGCCAGGACCACCCACGGTCAGCTGTGCGATTTGGGGGATCATGCATCACGGATCCGTGGAATTCGTACATCGCTCCTCTTAAGACAAAACATTGGCAAACCCACTTTTTTTTATCAATACTGGAACAAGTTAAATTTTAGGCTGTAGCTGGATCTCCATGTTCTGGAGGTGGGAGGTGCTGCCCTCAGAACAGTCTTTAGGTCTGTTGCTCGCGAGTGTCCAGTCATGGTTCTAGAGGGCCAGTGTGTCTGCAGGCAAGAGACAGCGGTTTTCCAGGACCAGGATTGTCCATCCTTAATATAGCGCCTTTAATGGCACATCCTCTCAAGGCACTTTACAGATGCACAGTAAACTTTAGAACGCATAATGTTACTCCTCATTCCTGCCTGATGTTTTTATCCAAAGAGACATACATTGGCACCCTAGCTGGGGTTTTTTGGAACAAGTCAGGGGGAGTATCTCGCTCAAGGGTACAACCTGGTGCGATTCGAACCCGCAACCTTCCCTTTGCAATTCGAGACCCCTGACTGCTGCTCCACACTGCTTGCCCTTAATTAGCATTAATACCGTAAATGAAACCAAAGGCCCATTTGTAAGGTCAGAAGGATTGGAACGACCAGATTTGAAAGTGCTGATTGACTTGCGACATCTGATGTGGGCTGGGAGATCGTTCTGCGGCTTCGGAGCAACAGACTCAGAGGCAGCATCTCCCAAAGAGCTCAAACAATAGGAAGGTGTCCAGGGAGATAATAGTTCACCGATGTCATTGGGAGCCAGATGGCTCAGGCCCTTGAACAACCGTATTTTGAAATCCAGTGGTAGCCAGTGCAGGGAAGCTAAAACTTGGGAGAGACGCTCGTGCCTCTATGCTTTTAGTTAAGGTGCAGTGTTACACAAAGGGGAACCACAAGTGAAGATGCAACCCCCTGGAGGCTCGTTTGGAACTGCGGGGGCATTGCAATCCATCCGTTTTCCCAGCAAGCTACGGGCACAAAGTGGGGTACCCCCTGGACAGGACAGCAGTCTATCACAGGGTACACACACACAGAGAAGAACACACACACACTTGCACCAGGAATAATTTCCCCAGAAGCCCATTAACCCCCCAGCATGTCTTTGCACTGTGGGAGGAAACCCGAGCCCCCGGTGGAAACCCCCCGCAAGCACAGGGAGAACCTGCAAGCCGACCACTGCGCTGCCATGCCTCCTCCTCCTCCTCCTCTGCAGGGGTCTGTTGTGGATTGTTGTTGTTGTTGTTGTTGTTGTTGTTGTTGTTGTGGGGGTTGACGTGGGCTTGTGTTCTGCCGCGCAGAGCCCCGGCCAGCTGTCCCGGAGCGTGCCGCAGGCAGGGACGCGGGGAGTGCTCCACACGTTCTCGCAGTCCTCGCAGCTCCAGAGCGCCGCCGCCGCCGCCGCCGCGCTGGTCACCAGGCCAGGTAAGCACGCCATGCGTCCCGGGAACAAAGCGAGCAGCAGCGGCAGCAGCAGCAGCGGCCGCAACAGCAGCCCCGCAGCCAGTGCCTGGAGGAAGCAGAGCACCGTGAGCCCAGGTAGATCCCGCCCGCCCACTGCCGAAACACCGCGCCTCTCTCTCCCCCCCTCCCCCCTCCTTCCTCGCCTCGCTGGGGACGGCCTGCCGTGTGCTTCACTTCAGGAGTCCCTGAAGGGGGTCTCCCCCCCCCCATTTACCAGTCTGGAAAAGAAACACCCAATTTAAAAGAAGATTTCAATCCAGGATTCGCCTCTAAATTCTATCATAAATGCAGCTCAGTCACCTTGACCGTCTCAATGCCCCGTAATTAAAGTGGACAAAAGCCCTCTAGCAGAATTACGCCGGTATAATTCTGTTACGGGGTTTTGGATGAGCCGCTTTGGTTCCGATACCTGGAAGTGATCGCCTTTTAGGATGGTTAATTTTTCCGCGCCGTAAAGGAAAATTGATTTTCCCATCAAAATTTCCGATCCAAGTCCCAAAATCTGAATGAACGCAGAAACATTGGGCCTGCCGTCCTCGCTGCCTTGCTGGGATTCTCCCAACTCTTGCACCTGAAACACTGATTTGTGTCTGGGACTGGGGGGTGGCAGGGCTAGCGGTTTTCCTGCCCAGTTTTAGCGATAAAAGAAAATTACGTTTCTGGAGGGAATAAACGCTATTCAAAAATTTCCTCTTTTGCCGATCAAATTTAAACGCTCCCTGTTCTGGATATACCGTAGAGGAAAATACCAGCCTCTTGCGTTTTGGGGATGAAGGTTTGGGGAATTGCTTCCCAGTCTGACACAACCTCGGTTTCCTTTGAAAGAGTCCCTCCTCTCTCTCTCTCTGCTGGTGGTGGGTAGAACTTTTGTTTTGGAGGGGGTGGGGGGCACTACAATTTTTCCTCTCCTTCAACATAATAAAAACACTAAGTTTGCTGTTGGTGAAAGCCATCATCAATGTAAAAGTCTGAGATCCTCTGGTATTATTTAAACTAATGTTGTGTGCTGCTCTCTGAAGTTGGGACTTCAGTATGTGTTGATTTCCTGTTATTGGTCATGTCGAGAAAAAGACATTTCACGCTGCTGGGAAACAAAACCATCTAAATATCTTTCAGCACTGTGAAGCGGCAATAGCTGATTCAAATTTATTCCCATTACTCATAGCTACTGCTTGCTTTTAAACACCCCTTAATCTTGAAAGAAGTTCCTTTGAAGACACAGACGGAAGATGAAGAGATATGTTGAAATTTAAGTCTGCTGATTTTAATTAGGCAGACATCTGCATGTTCGTTTAACTCAGCAGTGATCATTTTGAAGGTTGCCATGGTGTGTTTAGTAATATTTGTGCACTTTTGCTACAGTGGTTTCCAAACCCTATTCTGCTTGTTACTGCTGTGGGCAGTGTGTTTACCCATAGTGTGCTATAGTTCAGGCTCTTTGCTTTCAAGGTTTATCTTACTAGCGAAGACTCCATTAAGTGAGAAGTATTCATTTCCCTTTGAAAACCCTTATGGCTTTTAAATAAAATAAAGTAGTTTTAAACATACTACTTGACATGCATCAGCCTTCTGTTGGTGCTTGTCTTGACATTTCATTTAACTGCTGCTGGAAGTGAACTCATAACCAGAAGAACATGCTCTGGGGTGAACAGGCTCAGGGATTGCCGATCGATCGCACCTGTAAACTCTGCTTCCCTCAGGGCGCCGATGATGCTGAACGCGGGGTGTCTGAGCATCTGACACGTGGCATGACAGCGCGGGCCCTGCTTTGTAACGAGCAGAATTTGTGATTTTAACTGGGGAAACGGAACTGGCTTATGGGGAATAGGTGTCGCAGGAGCCAGAATAAGCACTTAGCAAAGAGCTTCAGCTATGTTAAACATTCCTCAGGGGGGGAGGTGGGGGGGACATTCTGCTGGTCCCAAGTAGTCAAGCTGAGATAGGAAGTTATAGGAAGAGGAAGAGTGAAAGCAAAAGTGCGGAGATATCATTGGGAATTCACCATGGGGAGCTGTTTTGAAGATCATTTTCAGGAAGTATAAACTACCTTAAGGTAAACCTCCCTTCTCCTTTCACTGGGCCTGACTTCAGGGGCGAAGCACAAAGCTGCTGAGCTTGTTTCAGGAAATAGCCTTCAGTAAGGGGAAGGTTTTCTCCTGAAGGTGATGAGCAAGCCCGCGGCCAGGGTGCTCGTGTTTTTGGTAGAGGCCGTGCTGGGTGCCTCGGGGCCCGCGGGCGGGGGTGGGGTGGTGGTGGTAATTGTGGGGGTTGAACAGTGTGACTCAGCTGCCCGTGTCTTTGATTTGCAGGGGTCACCATGGCCTACGTCAACCCCAGCCTCTCCATGCACAAGTCCTCCTCTGCGGTCGATCGCCAGCGCGAGTATCTCCTGGACATGATCCCCTCCCGCTCCATCTCCCAGACAGCGCAAACATGGAAATAATGCAACTGCTCCCGATACTCTTATTAATAATCGCTAATAATCACCAGAGTAATAAAATAATAAGGATAACCAATCGATCGCTCCTGAAATCCATCCATCCTGTGACCACCGCCCCAAGCAAGAGGAAGGAGTCTTCGCTCTTCGTCTCTCTCTCTTTCCCGTTCTTTTGTCACTTGCTTGCCTGTTGCTTCAGCCTCCCCAGCCACAGTGTGGCGAGAGAGAGCGGTACACCTTTTTGCTGGGGAACAGTGCGACTTCAGTGGAACACCGCTTCAGAAGAGAAAGGGGTAACGGAACTCGAACCGATCTGATCCGCCGTCGAAACAGCAGGACAGGACCTTCAGAATGGTCCTCAGTCCGTAGGCGCCAGCATTCGTCCTGCTGCCTTGAGTGGTGACCCCGTGGATGACCTTTCCCACAATCCCACTGGTGTCGGCTGGTGACACCCCTGAGATTCACAGACTGGACAGCAGGAGGGGGGAGGAGGGGGGGGTTTCTCTGCTGGAGAAGCAGGAGGATGGATATTAAAGGATGGGGGGAATGGCCTAGGGTTGTGATTGCTGGACTGCTTTGGTGGAATTGCTTCAGGTTTGCAGAAAAAAGGGCCATCCCATGTCTGCGGACACGGGCTCCTATGTTAGGCTGACAAAACTTGAACAAAAGAGGAGCAGGCTTGGTTTTCAGATGTGGAAAACTGCGGCTGAATGTTTTGAGTTTGTCCATAAAGAATTAGTTGGCATTTCTTACCGGTCTTGTCTGGTATTTTTTTTT